GGGTTAAGTGGGATTCTTTTTTTTTTTTTTAACTTATAATTTCTTCTCCTTTTGGAGCTTTGTCTTGGAAAAAAAAAGAAAGAAAGAAAAGAAGTTTACTTCTAAGCAATAGTAGTCAGGAGTTCTCAATGCCATTCTTTCACTGAAAAAAAAAAAAAAGCTTATCTAGCTGCTGCAGACAGATGGGTGGAAGTTCCTTGTGACAATCCAGCAGAAGAAACAACTTGGAGCCTCACCTGTTGCCCCTAATGATTAATGTGAAGACCATGACACTTGGCAGATTCTAGTCTTGGGAGTACCCTTCATTCTCACCAGGGAAGAAGCTTCTATCTTTAACTACTTGAGGGAGGAGTAGATTTTATGGCTGCGTCATCTCTGAACAGCTTTTCTGTGTAACCTCTCCTAGGACAGGCTAGGATCTGATGCCAAAAAGCAAAATCTAATGTCATGTATAAGCTCAGAGAATCTACAGATGAGGGATACATCAATCAGGGCAAAGACAGGACTGGATAGAATAATATGGTCTCGGCACATGCTGACGTTAGGAAAAGGGGATGTGTTCTTAGAATTTGGAAGGTTGATCTTGAGAAGACCCCCTGGAAATAGAAGAAATAGCTTTCTTTCCTAAGACTTTAATAAAACACAAAGATACAAGGTCTGGCTACTTACCCTCAGGGCTGTCTTCTCTATATGTTTTATGGTCACATGCATTATGCTGTGACACTCACTTCATGTGTCACTCTGTACAGTAATGACCTTGGCTTTCTCCTCCCCAGTCTTGGGCAATTCTGATTTAAGAAGAGGAAGTCTTTTTGGCTTAAATGTATGTTCAGCTGTGTTGGACTTTCAGTGTTCTCCTTTAAGTTAAAAAGAGATAATTTTAAATAATTACGAAGTTCTGGATTCTAGGGGCAGGGAGGCAAAGCCAACTTGTTCCTAAATATGTTTGTGATGACTTTGTTTGGGCCATCACAGACCATTTCCCTCCTCTCCATCCCGTTTGTGTTCCCATGAGAAGCCAAAGTTGTTGTAAGCCAGGTTGGCTGCTAGCTAACAGTTAACCTTGTAGTGAGAGCCATTCAGATTGGAGTATTCCCAACAGGCACTGTGTTGCCTCTGGCTTGAGGTTCTGAGAGAGCACTAGACCCCAGAAGCAGCCAGTTTGGTAGAGCCTTTTAATTCACAATATTGTATTCACATCAACATGGATCCAGACGGATGCCCTGCGATAAACAGTAACTGCTGGAGAAAAGGCTTTATTGACGCTCAAGTAAATAATGCACATTTTAAAGGATCTAAATATACATTTACATAACGTACTATAATTTTTGTATTGTGTCAACTATTCTCACACACACACACACACACACACACACACACACACACCCTCCATAAGACTTGTTTCTCTTCACCAAAAATTTGGACTCAGCTTTCTGTGTATTCCATTAACAACATGCCAGCTTCATCCTGGCAGTTTCTCTCTGATACAACCTGCCCTAGCCATCTCAAAGAACATTTATTGAAGTAATTGGTTGATTTAGCTCCAGTGACTCCTTCTAAAATGATCTGAGACAACTTAGATAAAACTTAGGTACACTGAGAACATCAAAGCCAAGATAAAAGGGAAGAAACAAAGAAGTAGAGAGGAAAGAAGAAAAAGACATCGATTAAATCTTAGCTCTGGACTTTTAACTGGCCTCCGTGCCCAGTAGGAGAAGAAGATTATCCAGAGAACACCAGGATGCAGTAGTAATCAACAGATCTTTGTGACGTCTGTAACAGGTCTCTCCCTGAGGAATGAAAGGTCATGATCTAAAATCGTCTGCTTCTGTCTCTGCGGTGAACTTTTGTCCCCAGCAAGAGCAAAGAGGCCTGAGGAGGACAGCCCTGTAAACGCAGACTCAGCAGATGTCTGATTTAAAACTTCAGGCTAGATGGCTTCCTGGAATTAATTAAGAATTAATTGATCCTAGTCAATCAGTCATTATAGAATTAATTTTATACAGTAACCATATATCTTTAGGTTTTCACTGAACTCTCCACCATAAGGAAAAGATGAAATAAAGTCCTGTTTCTGAAGTGTAAAAAAAGAAATTAAAGTCTATAAATTTATGCTGCTAAAGATTTTCTTTTTTTACATTTTTTTTTTACAATTTATTTTTTTTATATCCCAATTGTAGCCCTCTCCTTCGTCTCCTCCCGGTCCCACTCTTCCTCCCTCTTCCACCCATCCTCCTCCCTATTTCACTGAAAGGGGGAGTTCTCTCTTGCCATCTGACCCTAGCCTATCAAGTCTCATAAGGACTGCCTGCATCCTCTTCCTCTGTGGCCTGGCAAGGCTGTCTCACCATGGAGAAGTGATCAAAGAGCAGGCAGCAGAGTCCATGTCAGAGACAGCACCTGCCCCTCTTACTAGGAAACCCACTGAGCTGCCTATAGGCCGCATCTGAGCAGGGGATCAGTACTCTCCATCCATGGTCCTTGGTTCATACGTCCGTCTCTGCTGGAACCCCTTGGCCCAGATGTTTTGACTTTGTTGGTCTCCTGTGTCGCTTCTGTCCCCTCAGGTTCTCTATCCCTCCACTCTCCCATAAGACTCCCTGCACTCTGCCCAAAGGCTTTGATCCCCTACTTGGTGGAGTCTTTCAGAGGACCTCTATGGTAGACTCCCATCCTGTTCCCTCTCTTCTGCTGCTATTGAGTGTCTATCCTATTTGTCTTCTGAATGAGAATTAAGCATCCTTCCTAGGGTCCTTCTTGTTGTTTAGCTTCTTTAGGTCTGTAAATTTTAGTGTGTTTATCCTATTTCATATGGCTAATATCCACTTATAAATGAGTGCATACTGTGAGTGTCTTTCTGGTTCTGGGTTACCTCATTCAGGATGATCTTTTCTAGTTCTATCCATTTGCCTGCAAATTTGATGATTTTTTTAAGTAGTTGAGTAATATTCAATTGTGTAAACACACAATTTCTGTATCCATTCTTCATTTGAGGAACATCTAGCTGCTATGAACATCTGTATGTTGTATGCTAGAGCATCTTTCAGGTATATGCCCAAGAGTGGTATAGCTGGAACTTGAGGAAGCACTAGTCCTAATTTTCTGAGAAGGTGCCAGATTGATTTCCAAAATGGTTGTATAAGTTTACATTCCCACCAGCATTGGAGGAATGTTCCCCTTTCTCCACAACCTCTCCAGCATGTGTTGTCACTTGAGTTTTTTATCTGAGCCATTCTGATGGGTGTAAGACAGAATCTCAGAGTCGTTTTGATTTGCATTTTCCTGAATATGAAGGACTTTGAGCATTTCTTTAAGTGTTTCTCTGCCATTTGATATTCTCCTGTTAAGAATTCTCTGTTTAGCTCTGTACCCCATTTTTTTAATTGGACTATTTGGCGTTTAACTTCTTGAGTTCTTTATATATTCTGGATATTAGCCCTCTGTCAGATATAGGGTTGGTGAAGATCCTTTCTCAATCGGTAAGCTGCCGTTTTGATCTGAGGAAAGCATTCTTTGCTTAACAGAAGCTTTTCAGTTTCATGAGGTCCCATTTATTGGTTGTTGCTCTTAGAGCCTGTGCTGTTGGTGTTCTGTTCAGGAAGTTGTCTCTTGTGCCAATGAGTTCAAGGATCTTCCCCACTTTTTCTTTTTTCCTAACAGGTTTAGTGTGTCTGGTTTTATGTTGAGGTCTTTGATCCACTTGGACTTTAATTTTGTGCGAGGTGATAAATACGGATCTATTTGCATTTTTCTTTTTCTATTCGTAGACATCCAGTTAAACCAGCACCATTTGTTGAAGATCTTATCTTTTTTCCATTGTATGGTTTTGGCTTCTTTGTCAAAACTCAGGTGTCCATAGGTATGTGTTTATTTCTGGGTCTGCAATTAAATTACACTGATCCACCAGTCTGTTTCTATGTCAGTACCATACAGTTTTTATTACTGTTGCTTTATAGTACAGCTTGAGATCAGGGATGGAAATACCTCCAGATCTTTTATTGTGCAAGATTGTTTTAGGTATTCTGGTTTGTTTTGTTTTGTTTTGTTTTTCCATATGAAGCTGAGAATTTTATCCCCTGTGTGGAGTCTTTTCTGGTTCAAACTGGTCTTGGTCTAAGCATTGTGAGCCCCTTCACACGAAGCCTTTAACCTTTGGTGGTTCATGGCCAGCACCCTTCTAATTCAAGAACAAAAGCATTCCTGGAAAAATTATTAAGTATCTCACATAAGCTTCTTTTATAGCTAATATAATCTTGTACAAATGATATTTATCAAGGTTCAAATATAAAGAAATTATAGTCTGAATCTATTATCAGATTTATGGGAGAGAAGCAACCTTTCACAAAGTTCCTGCCTACTCAGTCTGGAGTTGCCTTGGCCATGAAAGGGCAACAAAGAAAAATGCAACATAAACCTTCCGCTGTAAAGTGAGGCACCCAAATTGCATGGGTTCATTAAGTGATCATTTACTACAGACTTCAAAAAAAAAAAAAAAAAACCCTCTAGTCCTGAATTAGTCCCTAGGAATTTCCTTGAAAGGAGTATAAGAGCTTTAACAATGAATTATTATCTATGGATAGCTCAGCATGAAAGGGGATCCATATGTGCAAAGTAGAATTTGTCAAATGTAATGTCGGTTAAATCAGGTCTAATCTACCAAATACATTTTTTATTGCTTGCTTCATTAAAAAGGCTCTTAAGGTAATGAATAATCTTCATCTTCAACAAGGATTATTAATGCCTTTATAACTCACGTCCACTGAACACAGAGAGGCAACTTGAAATTCTATCCTGCTCTAACCTCCATGTTTGTCTTAGAGCCTAAAAGGAGAAAAATCCATCAGAGCTGCCCAGTGCTATACCTTGTCACGTGAGCAACACTGTGAACTGGGCCAGGAGAAGAAATGAAAAAAGGCGGCTGTGTGATTCAGCTATGGCAAAGCAGGTCTTTTCCTCTAAAAGCTGATGGCTTGTGTTTTGTTTTGTTTTGTTTTCTGCAGCAAGTCCACATGCGACACCATCGACTCTCCACTTTCCAACATCACCCATCATCCAACAGCCTGGGCCTTACTTCTCACACCCAGCCATCCGCTACCACCCTCAGGAGACGCTGAAAGAGTTTGTCCAACTTGTCTGCCCTGATGCTGGTCAGCAAGCTGGACAGGTCGGGTTCCTCAATGTAAGGAAACCTTTTTTTTCCCCCTTCCTGCATCTCTAGAAATGTTAACCAAATGTAAAAATAACAAGAAGACCCTTTTTATGACTGTGTGAGTTTTGTGTTCTGATATCATGCTGACTGTCATATTATTCTAGATTACGGGAAAGTTAACTTGCTGGTAAGAGTGATTGGGTTTAAAAACAGTGTTTGTGTTAAATTTGCAACTGTCAAGCTTATGGATATAAATTGTCTGGAGAGTGAACCCTGTAACCTTCTGAGTTCCACCTCCTGCATTCTAGCCCCAGGATCATACAGTTAACAAAATAGAGAGACCAAATAATTTTAAATAATGATTTGAGTAGTAAAGAGAGGTAGAGAGCAGAAGGGGACAGATGTTTCATATCAACCACGTTGATGTTGTTTAAAAAAAAAAATTACAGTCTTCTAACACTTTAGATCAAGTTGACCAGTACTTGAACTCAAGATGCTAGAAGCAAAGCTTATTATGGTTTGTTATTTCTGTGAGTAGTTATCTTTTCTACTTATCTTCATATAAAACTAAGCCATGTTCAATAACTACAAATGAATGTTTTCATTTTTCTCAAATAAACCAAATAATCACAATTTGAAATAACATTCCAATAGTAAAAGTTATTTTATAAAATCGTGAATTTTATTACAAATATAAAAGCTATATGTTTATAATGAATGACTGTATCCCATGGCCAATAGCAATAATAAATTGAAACCAGCAGAAAGCCATATTTGATTTCCTTTTCTCAAAATATCTATGCATGAAACCACAGATTATGCACACTTATTCCTGGCTGGTTTAGAATGTTATATCACCCTGCCCTGTCACCAGTTTTTCTCCTGTGCAGAAAGACCTGATTCTGCAGATCTCAGCCAGAATGGGCAGCTTTGACTAATGTCTGGTGATATGTTCACAGATACATTTCTGTCTAGACAACAAATCAATATGGTGCCTTTTTTTTCATTTTGCTTGTATATTCATTTGCTTGGCTTGTTCTAAAATATTCACTTATGGACTCTCAGTCCGCTCAGAAATAACACACAGACAAGGATGCTGTGAGAGTGCATAGCCTTCTGACCACTGACAGTATCTAAGTAAGAATACTGAAAGTACCATGAATGCTGATGAAGGAGTGATCCTTCCTCTGCAGAATTATTAAGTTTATTCTTAAAAGCAGAGGACAATAGGATCTCCTTTGGCTGAATTTTGGGTTGGGGCTACAGTCTAAATACAGGCTGTTATTGGCTGTAAATCAGCATAGAAAGCCACTTGGAAAACCATGAGAACCTGAGCTAATCACAAGCACCAAGTCTGACTTCTGAACATCCAATGTGTTTGTTTTTTTGTTTTTTTTTTTAAACAGTCATGACATCATTTTATATAACTGTCAAATGCCCTGTTTTGCATTTTGATCAAAAGCTATTTTGAAGACCTTGAAAATAAATGTTGCATGTTCTTTTCTGAGGAAAACTTGCCCTTGGTAGACAGTTGTTATTAGGTGGCACACACCTATAATCCCAGCGCTCAGGGAAGTAGAGGAAGGTAGATCTCTGTGAGTTTGAGGCCAGCCTGTCCAGGACAGCCAAGGCTACACAGAGAAACTCTGTCTCAAAAAATGAAAAGAAAAGAAAAAGAAAGAAAGAAAGCTGCTGTTTGGTTGTTCTAACATCAGAGAAGTATAAGTCCTATGGCATCTGTTGATGTAAGTCAAATTAGAAGTTGTATTTCTACCTAGTAGAGCCCTGCTAGCTAAGTATTAAAGTCTCTTTGCCAAATGCTATATGAAATGTGAATGAAAATGTCCATGTTCGTTTGAATACATTTATTCAAATGTATTAACTCTTACAAGATCATCTTTGAGAAAAGAAAATGAAATACTTTTATATATATTTTATATATATATCTAGGGAATCATCGTTTTACCTATATAAACACACATGGTAAAATAATGCCTCAGGCTATAAGCAGGTCAAGATTAAAGAAGCATTTAGTAATCATGAAAGTTTTGATGGAAGCATCAGCTAATACAGCACTGAGCAAGAGTTATTTGGGAGGGACAAGACTTGTGTGCTCTGGACATGACACAAAAGACTAATGTGCTGCCCACAGCTGAATATTAGTGATTAACATGACAGGCACCTAATGAGTCTCTCCCTTTTAGAAGCAGCTGATGGCTGATATCTGTTTATTCTTCCCGTATGTGTTTTCTCTGAACCCATGCAGCCCAATGGAAGCAGTCAAGGCAAGGTGCACAACCCATTTCTCCCCACCCCAATGTTGCCGCCGCCACCGCCACCACCGATGGCCAGGCCCGTGCCTCTGCCCATGCCAGACACCAAGCCTCCAACCACATCAACAGAAGGAGGTGCAGCTTCTCCCACCTCGCCGAGTGAGTATGGCTGAGATGAGGCGCCAGTTACTTGCCGTGCTCCGTGCACTTGAGTTCACACCTAAGCCTTGTCCCTAGCTGTGCAGGCTCCAGCAATAGATACACACACACACACACACACCATTATGTCTATAACATATAACATAGGCTGGCAGAGCCCAGACCCAAGTCACAGTGAATAATACCATTCCTATACATGGTCAAACTACACCAGATATGGAAACAATTGGGTGTAGGCATCAGACTAAAATGGTGTAATGTGAGGACTGAGATCAAACCATTAAACCTTGTGTATCGCTGGAGTTGTTTGGATAAAATGCTATTCCCATAGTGTTCTAAGAGCATCTGCTTGTATATATTCTTAATAGCAAAAGGTTTGGTTATCCCTAGAAACTTGATGAGAGATGAAGAGTATATGCCTTGTACATAAGACAGAAAAGGTATCTAGGTCAGAGTGTCCATTCAGAGGTGTGCCCGTGAGAGAAGGAAGGGCCCCGATAACAGGTCAGAGCCAGAGGCCATGGTAGCTGCATGAGAAAGCTTAAGAAGGGAAGGAAATAGAGAGTAGGAAAGAATGGAGAAAGAGAGTACCTTTTGCCTCTTCTCTCAACAGTCTGGGAATACTTGATCGGTAACCTAGAGGATTCTGAAGTATAGATAGATAGATAGATAGATAGATAGATAGATAGATAGATAGATAGATAGATATGGATATATATGGAATGATTCAACAGTAAAGAATTATTCAGATACTTCTTGGTATTTTGGAGATAGCAATGCTAGAAATAGTGTGACCACACAAATATGGCCTCTAGTCATACCTTCAATAACGGCAGAAAGTGATGGCTGGAGTTTTCAGGTGACCTAGTAGCCTAGCCTTGAAAGATGGCATGATGGGCCCTACCCTAATGATTTAAAGAGAATGAAAGCATAGGGTTGTACCTAGTCTGAGCCGGCAGGGGCAGAGAACTTTTAAAGGAAGTAGGAATGAGGAAAAAGTGTAAGAGCGCTTAAGAAAAGGAGTATTTGTAGCAGGAAAAGTAATAGCAGTTGAATGGAAGGGAACAGGGGGAGGAGTGTTTTGTAAATATAAACACATATTTAAATAAGAAGGCCTCTTTCTTACATTCAATATTGTAATCAATGATACTGGATACAGGAAAGAAGGGTCCAAAGAGAGACGGTCCTCTGCTTAGATCATAGTCACTGAAACTGGTTCTGGGGATACTGAATCTAAAGTGACCTGCATCCCTCGTGGGCACAGATGAGAGTAAACTTTGTGTTATCTAATGTTTATGTATTTGGATAAGTAGATAAGCATAGATTCTGCAGCAAAAGGCCCGAGAGTCCAGAGACACTTTGGGGAGACAGAGGTACTTGGTAAGGGATGGTTCAGTCCAACACTTACCAGCCCAGGGGAAAGCCAGTGTCCATTGACGCGGGAACGAAGCCACTTAGCTGTGAGCTGTTGACGCTTCTCAGAAACAAGCTGGGAAAGGGCTCGAGGCAAAATTTTTGCTTTTATAAATCACGTGCTTTCTTAGAAACTGAAATTGCAGGACGGTTTGATCTGTTTCTCCTTAGCAGTCTATTAGCACTCAGCTGCAGCAGGAAGCAGCGTCAGGCAGGGTGTTAGGTACAGATGTTCAGCATCCCAACTGCGAGGCCAAAACTGAAACCGCTTTCAAAGAACAGTGGCACACACTTTTCTGTTTAGGGGTTTAGGATTGCTTGCAATAAAATAAGTTTTTTGGTTTTTTTTGTTTTTTTTTTTTCAGTTAAAAAAAATAATAAAACAGGAAATCAAGCCAGACAGTTCCTCTATCATCAACTTTTGGGAGGCCTCAACTCCCCCTTGACTAGGAATAGTGTTCGCTCCACTGCCCTCTCTTACAGAGGTCATCAGGGGGAGCAGGAAAATAGACGTGCTATGCGACAGACAAAAGGCCGAGGCGTCCTTTTTAATATCTTCTAATAATGAAATACAAATGGATGCCAGCCTAGAGCAGAGTACGTGTTGCCTCTGGCACTCATACTAAACTGTTCAGCATGGCCAAAAAAACATAGGCAAGACAGATCTGGAAAAAAATTGCCTATAAAATAAATATATTTTAATGGGAAAAATCTGCCTCCATGCCTTTAAAAATCCCGGGAGGTGGAAGTGAGGAGAAAGTGGTGCTCTTCCCTAAAGAGAACTTCTGTATTTTGGTACGTATGCATAACCATTGGTTCTGCTGGGCAGAGCTGCTAGAACATGACAGGTAGGAGGCTTGACCTGTGGGAGCAGCTCACACCATGTTTTCCACTCTCACTGATAAGCCTGCTGCTGTGGATTTCCCTCTCTGCTAAAGAAAACCTCTTCTCCTTTCGTGTTCTTGAGAATCAGCTGTGTGCCCAAAAACCCTTGTATATGCTAGGCTCCCACACTTAGAAAGGGGGTAAAATGATTTACAAATCATGATCTTATAAAGACTTTATTTCAAAGAGGAAGCGGGAGAACAAACAGAAAATATGAAAGGCAGGCGATGGAAGACAGTGACCCCTGTATGTGGAAATCCATGAATGGTAGATGGACAAAGAGCAGTAGGGATGGGACAGCATGCAAGACCTACCAGCCCTTTGATGTCAGAGAAAGGCCCTGATGGGGTGGGGCCAGATGGCTGGTAATCAGCCAAAGCAGACTGGTATGATTGAGGAAAGTGAGGACAGTGAGAAAGAGAAAATCAGAATCACTGGAGAGCAAACGAGGGTGGGGTAAGCTGCTGGGAGCTCGAAGCTTGTAGGCCAGTGCCAGGACTTGGACATTTTCTGCAAGTCAGACTGTGAGCAGAGGAATGCTTCCTAAATCCTGGATGTTCATAGAAAATCCTGGAGGGCTTTGTTGGACTAGGTTGCCAGGGGAAGAACAGAAGTGGGGCATAATGAATGTAACGGGGGTCTTGTACGTCCAGCCCACCCCCTGCCCCCGTTACAGACAGAGAAGTCCCAAGGTAAAGGAAACAGATAAGACCTTGCATCCCGGTGGGAGAGGAATGCCAAAACAACAAAACAAAAGTGAACCAGAAAGCTAGGGACCAATAGATAAAATTGAGAACGAAGAAGTGGGCAGAGTATATAGTGAGGTTGCTATGACAATCACGCAGATGAGTTGTCTACGCACTGACATGGGGTTGGGGTCAGTAGAGGCTGTAAGGAGCCCTCGGACGCAAGGATATTCTAAAGATAGAGTTAGTAAGATTTGCAGACGCATCTGAGGTGGGTGGAGAGAAAGGAGCGAAGTAAGCACCTGTGAGATGTTTTACCCTGAGCATGAACACAGTAATGACCTCTAGGGTGTTTTACCCTGAGATGAAAATAGGAAGGTTACAGAAGCCGTTCTTGGTGAGGGGTGCAGCAGTCGGGCTAAACAAAACGTGCTGCTGATGGCAGCTCTGGGCAGATTATGAAGAGTTTCAGAGTCCTTCTTTAAAAAAGGACTTTTTTAAAGCGTACAGCACAACATGTGAATTTTATAAGAGGCTGCGTATGGTGAGGTATGCCTTTAATCCCAGCACTCAGGTGGCAGAGGCAGGTGGGCCTCTGAGACTTTCAAGGCCAGCCTGGTCTACAAAGTGAGTTCAGGACAGCCAGAGCCACCTGGTGAGTTTTGGAGATAGCAATGCTAGAAATAGTGTGACCACACAAATATGGC